GTGAAGATAATTTTTTAAAAGTTCTCTCAGACCGAGCTTACACGTGAACATTTTTGTCGAGGCTATTTTTCGATTTCCTTTTTTTTCGAGTTGCTCGATTCATTTACTCACAGAAATAATATTGCCAGCTAATTAAATTTACACATGCAAATGAGAGCAGAAAACGTGTTGCCCTCGCATGAACGACAAGGTATGCCTCTCCTTAGCTCGTCGCTTCCCCTAAAAGCTTTGAGTCGGCGCCGATAAAACTGTCGCGTATAACAAGTGGCGAACCAGTCCTTGCAGTAGGTCTCCACACGATCGGGGAAGAACTCAGGAAAAGCGTAACAATAATGAGAGTACAGAACTGGGAAAGCACCATTGGACTTCGCCAAGCCAAACGATTAATAGATGGGCATAACTCAAAGAGATGCAGGCTTTTTTACTCTGCCCAAAGAGCAACTGAGGATCGTCACGGGAATGTTCACGGAACACTGAAGACTAAAACGACATTTGGACAAGCTAAGAATCTGGTCAAATGACATCTGTCAATCACCTGCAAGACTGCCAAGCAATTGTTGCCCGCGGCCGTGCTAAATGCACTGGTTTACTAATGAGCCTAAATAAGCTAAAAAAAAAATAAAAACTATTCCAAATGTTAGTCAGATTTATAAACTAAAGATTTCGTTTTATTATCTATTTAATATATCTTCTGTATAAGTTATCTAAACTCGACATTTCGAACAGGTGGCAACCATCTTCAAAATATTTTCAAACTAAAACCTTCATTCTCTTTCGTCTGATATCCAAATTGTAATGCATATTTCGTTTCCCTAATTGTCTCAATTTACTTTATTTTGATTTTTTGAATAGGTGGCAGCCCCCCCTGAATACATTTTAGAAATAAAACCCTTTTAAACCCACTTCGATTGAAATCCATCTTTTAATAATTCATCTAACTTTATACTATTTAAATGCCACTTTTTAAAGCTAAATGTTCAAACTAAAACTCTTCAAAAGGAGTTTCAACCTAAAAGCTTCCTAAATATCCTTCATCTGACATTGTGATACATGTGGCAACCCTCTTACATGTAGTAAACAATATAACTTTTTCAAAACCTTTTCCACTGATAACCATATTGTACTAATTGATTTAACTTTTTAAATAATTGGATTGGATTTTTTTAAAAGATGGAAACGGTTTTTAAAAAGTTAAACCTTGTTGTTATCTACAGCCCTAACCCTTTAATTTTAAATCTCAATTTTGAAAATCGAACCAACGGTGCAGATCTGAAGACCTAAACAAAAAATCCCTTCGCGTATTATATACCTACCCTGCAGTACGGGGGAGCGACTACAGCACTGCTGAATCGGTAGCTACCTGATAAACACCGTCAATTACCGACCGACTACTTGCAGTGTATTTCATCGATTACTTTTACAAGGCAATGTCCTAGGCGGTAGTCACCATCGGCTCTCTCTGCACTACCGGGAGTTACTAGAGTAGTCACTTATGTGATTTATGGGCCCCCTCTGTCGTAGTTTTTCGCTATTCTACCTAGGAGTCGGTGCAGTAGCGATTGCCTGCAGCAGTACTGGAGGGTATTTATGTATGTACTCATATAGAAGATCAGTATGTGTCATTACAGGATACTGTCTAATGGGCAAGCATTCGCCTGCGTTGAATGGCTTCTGTAGAAGCTATCAAAGTGAAGAGCAGGAGGAAAGGATTCCTGCACCTGTTATGACAGTGCCCTGCTCAATCCAGACGAAGACTCTCCACTTCTTCTTCTAAATTCCTGCAAAATTCAAAATGGCTTTAGGAGCGACTGGGAATTGCTAACCCTACATGCGGTATTACAATGAGCGCTGAGCCTAAGTGGCAATTATTGATGACCGCAACTACCTAATCTAACTTTAGTCCTAAAACTGCCATGCCCATTTCAGGGATTTTGCGTCTTAAGCAAACATTTTACCGAACAAACATTTTAGCAGAATCCGCAAAGCCACGCTTTTTGACACTTTGCTAGCTACAAGTAGGTGCATATGTATGTAAATAAGAAATAAAATATTATTTAGTTAATTTTATTGAGTGAAGTAAAAGGCTCGGGTCATCAAAGGGATCAAAGAGATCATTTAAAAGACTTCAACAAATTGGAGGAATGCTTGTTAAGGCACATCGCTATTTAAGGATTAACTAAAAATAAAACGTTTTTCTTTGTTATTTAAGGCTTAAGGCACTTATTAGCCGCACCTTTTATGTGATAACAAAAAAAAAACGAAAATGACTATCATAAATATACTTATAGTTAGACAAAGAAAATTAGTAGTTTTTAGAGCGTAACTTATGGGCGGATGTTTTCGGTAACTACTTTGGATATTTATGATTAAGTCGATGATAATGCGAAATGGTCTTGAAATGAAAATCAGCAGTAGTTACTTGTAAAACGCATTCAATAAGTTTCCTTGCTGACTCCAAAATACTAACTAATAACTACAACAGCGGGGAGTTCCTCAAAGCTTTTTACGATGCGTACAAAAATGATGAGTGAAGGGTGTCTTATGATATCTAATGGAATATCTGTGTAAAAGGGAATAACGTTCGCAGTGTTCATTGGTTATATAGAAATCGATAGATAAGTATGTTATAAGATAATGAATTAAAAAAAAAAATTGCTTTGTTAAGTTGTTAGTATCTGAAAAGACTCACGTGTTTCTGAATCAAAGATGTCTTGTTTGTATGCGAAAAATGTTTTTTCATTGACTTTTACAAATTCAACAAACTACACTAAACTTAATGCGACATTGATTTTCATTTTTTCAGCGTAGTGTGACTTGGTAAGCATTTTTTTATTGTGTCTTCGCTTGAGTTGATTTAGCAATTTTTAGAAATTCGCTTTCTTAATTTATCTTTTATTAAACAAAAAAAAAAAAAACATTTTATATGCACTCATTTTCGGTCGTAGCATATAAAACTACTTAGAATTGTAAATATCGAATCGCACCAATTGCTAAACCAATAAGTTGTATTAATGATGGCATCAGAGGTGTATTTCCGTCGCCTGGGCGTATTAGTATGAGGAAGGCGTTAAAGAGAGGAAGAAAAGTTAATAAAGAGAAGAAGAAGAAGCAAGTAGAACACAACAAGCAATTGCGAATATTTGTTTTGTTTTGTTTTGTTTAGTTCAAAAATGAAAGAGAAAGTCAACAAGGTGAGAAGGAAAGGGAATCACATGTACAAATACATAGGCAAGTAGAAGAAGAACAACATGAATCGGAACAAGAAGAAAGTAGGAAAAAGAAGATAAGTAGATGCTTAAATGAGTTGATTACGTAACAAATATGGGTTGAATGACGATTTATGTAACCTATTGCAGCTCAAAGCTTAGTCTTAGTATGGAATGTAGTTTAAAATAAGAGGATATACACCTAATTTAAGAACTGCGTTTTTTTAACTTATATTAAGGGAATATAAAAATAATTAAAACAAAAACTGGTTTACTCTTAGTCACAAAAGGGGTGATTCAAGTACTCTTTGGGAATATTTATATTTCGATGGAATTACGAAAAGCTGATGATTTTGCCCAACCTTATCACAATTTAATGGGTTAAGGAGTGCAGCTTTTTGGTCAAAAATCAAATTTTTAAATATGGAATTTTATTTATGAAACGACTTCAAAGATAATTAAAAAACCAATAAGCAATATATTTTTCCTTGAATATTTTACCTCCTGCCAGAACTAGTATTTTTGACCAAGTTTTGTAAAAATGGCAATTAGAGGGTTAAAATCCAATTTTTCTAGGAGTAACCCACAAAAAAAAAATATTCTGTGGATTTGCTGAGGAAGCGTATGTAAATACATAAAATTTTATGAAAAATAATATAATTTTTCGCCAAGAGTAGGACACTTTAACCCTCTGCGTGGGAAAACTGTGATGTGATGGAGCAGATTTTAAGTAACACGTATAAACACTTACGTTGACCACTTTTTTTCCAGATGGCCGCATATTCACAGCCGCGGAATTCGCAAATCAAGTTTTACCTTCCTTGCGATTAGCTCAGTCTACTAATTTTCAACCAAAAATGTAACTGTAGGGTCATTCCAGCGAAAACATCACAGGTCAAAAAACAAATTACAGTAAAGCAGATAGAATAGGTCTATGGACTATCTCCGTTATAGTAGTTTTTGCTTAAGTTTTCAAGGCATTTCTGGTGTATTGAAGGTGACAATGCAAAAAATAACTATTCAGAAGGAAACTAGAATACGTGAACTTTAAAACTGTGCTCAATTATTAAAAAAATATATCTACGTATGTCGAGAAATTGTCAGCGTTCCACCCGTTACATAAAATATATATATATATTTTTTAACCTATTTTACAAATACGTATGCTTTTCATTGTTTAAATAAGGTCGCCGTACACCCCTATGTTTGAAGTATTTTTGCAAGGAAATTTCGATTTTTTTTGTGTCGCAAATGTACTTTAGACTCAGGTTGCACGCCGAGCCTTTTTTTCTTGTACGCTCTAATGTACATACATACATATGTTGTATATGTAAAACTCAATTCGACACCTCCAAACCATACCATGCTAAATCAGCTTCGACTTAGTTAGACATATTTATCAAAGTATGGTTTGGAGGCGTGGAATTGTCAACTGTTTTTGTGAAAATTTTGTTTGAAAAGTTAATAGACAAATAGAAACACTATTCACACATATGTGTAGGTGTATGTACATAAAATGTGCTGAAGTGATAGGTACGAAATTGCAATTATTGATCGATGGAAATAATTGAAATAGTATTCGTAAGTAATAGAAGTGCAGTAGATACGTACGAGTTCGTGTTAATATATCATATATGTGGCCAAAAACAATAGTCGCTTAAGTCTACTTAAGACATGAATGGTATGTATTAGGCTGGGGGAGCTTTTGAACTAAAGAGCGAAAGAGCCAGCTCTTTTAGTTAAGTTAGTTCGTTCATTAAAATGAACTAAACTTTTCTGTGGCAATTCTCTAATAAAAATGGAAATGTACTTTTACAATACATATGGGAACTCGTTTTTCGTTGTAATGGCATTTCGTGATTTTGGAAAAAGACGACTGATTTGTTTCGTTATGCAATCTATTATATGTTTATACGTATGTGTTATTAAAACATAAATAAACTAGTTCAATTAGGTGAACGAACTAAGGCTCAGCAAAGCTAGTTCATGCAGCTGAATAAAATAGTAGTAGTATGCACATATATATTGTACAACACCCTTTTCTGAGGCGCGATCACATATCGTTGTTTGGCGCGCACTAAATTCTAATAACTAAATTCCTACCACACTAAATGCCGCTTCTCTCTTCATAAAATTAAATATTTTTATTTTCTTGGAAGCGTAGCAACAAGTTAATAGACTTCAAGTTTTTATTTCGACCGGGCAAAATTTTTATTTTGATAGGTAACTCATACGCCATGGCATGTAAGTGATATCGACAGCCAGGCAAGTACATAATCAAGTGCATAAATTTTGGCGTTGCGTTTTGAAAAACTACGTTTGTAAATATCAAATAAAATAAAATATCAAACTATTTTCCGATCCCAAGTGGGCTTGACTACTTGCCTGCCA